AGTGGTTCTACTCTTGTGGATTCCCATTATCTGACAGAGCTCTTTGATGGTATGTGATTCAAAGTCTGGCCCTTGGTCGCTATGGAGCCTTTCCGGTATTCCATAGTGGACCAGGAAGTTGTCCCACAGGGCTTTAGCTACTGTCTTCGCTCTCTGATTGGAAGTTGGGACCGCCACAGCGTACTTGGTGAAATGGTCAGTGATGACAAGTACGTCTTTCGTATTGCTCCAATCTGGTTCGATGGAAAGAAAATCCATACAGACAAGCTCGAGCGGTCTCAAGGTTCTGATGTTTACAAGAGGTGCGGCTCTCTCAGGTAATGTCTTTCTCCGCACGCATCTCTCACACGCCTTGATCTTATTGTTGACATCAATGGACATCCGTGGCCAGTAAAAGCGTGATCGAACGAGGTCGAGTGTTCTTTCTGTGCCTAGATGGCCCATTTGATAGTGCAGCTGGAAAAGGACCTCTGATCGACACTCCTCTGGAAGGACGAGTTGGTAGGTGGGCTCACCGTTGACATTCCTTTTTCTGACTAGAATGTCGTTTTGAAGCTCCAGACGTGTCAACTCCCTCCTGAGCAGTGGCAGATCTGGGAGTTGTTCCCTCAGAGATGGTGGTGGACTATCTCCTCTTTCCAACTGGACAATGAGGTGCTGAATAATGGGATCTGCCCTCTGTTTGGCCGCAATCTCAGCATTAGAAAAGGAGACCATGACCTGTGAAGAGAACTGCAAATCGTTAACAAAACTGTCTGGCAGACTCTCAACACTAATGGCCAGAGCTTGGACATATGCTGCACTTTGTTGCTTGTCGGGCGTGCTGTACACAAGTTGCCGGTCACATATTGCCTGGACTGATTGCTCATCAATAGAGACACAGGATGGACTGTCTAGATGTTGTTCAGTGAACCTCAGGATCCTCTCTTGCTCCTTTTGGGACAGAGGGTCTTCTGGGAGTTGTCTATGAGGTCGCCGAGAGAGTCCATCTGCGTCAGCATTGATGTATAGAAACAGAAATATATGCAACTGGATGTATAGAAACAGTTTACCCTTTTTAACGCCTACAGTGGTACTCTGAAGACCAAACATTTGTGACTTGGTGTGAGAAGTTTGCACTGGTTTTATTATTTTCAAATCAAAATGGTACTAAATGGATTTAATTTCAGACATGTGGGAGTTGAGAGCATTTCTACACAGCAGTAATTACTTAGTAAGCCAAACCATTCTGAGGGGAACGCCATCAGCCCCTTAGCCAGCTCTGAACACGGACTTTCCAAAAACAAAATTGTTGAGTGAAAAGCAGGATGGCTCCAGGAGAAGGCAGATTTGCACTTCTGTCACATAGGCATATTGTCCACTTTGATGCCGCACGGGAGGATATCAAATGCCCTCCTGGCTGCCACACTCCAGATGGAAGAAAATAGGCAGCGGTCTATAAAAATGAAGTTACGTGTAAGTATAGCACTCAAATCTGGGGGAGAAAAAATGCTTTTGCTGGGGCATTTTGTTGTTGTCAATTGGTCTGAGCAACTTGCTGTAATGCAGGTAATGGAGCTACTCTTCTCCTTTCATCTTGGCTGTGGGTGTGTGTGTGTGTGCATTCGTGTGTGTGTTTGTGTGTGTGTGTGTGTGTGTGTGTGTGTGTGTGTGTGTGTGTGTGTGTGTGTGTGTGTGTGTGTGTGTGTGTGTGTGTGTGTGTGTGTGTGTGTGTGTGTGTGTGTGTGTGTGTGTGTGTGTGTGTGTGTGTGTGTGCGTTTGTGTGTGAAAGAGAGACAGCTGGAAGTGGCAAAGAGGCAAAACAGCGGGGGACAGGGCCTTGTGATGGATCCAGCGAAGGCAGCAGTGAGTGGGATGATGTGGACATGCACCGGTACATTTACCCGCCACTTGTGACTCCTGCTGACCCACATGCAGGTGGAGGTGGCCCACGGCCGATTGATGTGAGGAAATGGTGCGGCTAATGTCTTATATAAGGACGAGGAACTATTCTGAACACTTCCCTGGGAACAAACATGGAAAAAACTAATAATTCAAAATATTTGTCAAATCTAATGTATAACGTACCGGAAGATGATAATATGGTAGAACTCATCAGTCTATGAGTCTATTTATGAGTATTAAAGCTGTGGTACCTGACTTACAAATCACAAACAATAAAAACTATACACTCTAAAAGCTGATTACATTTTAATTTTAGTTTTATATATGAGTCTGACCAATCTTTTGGTTAAAAGTGTTAAAATAGTAATAATAATCATTATGAAGGGTTGGGCTGTAGCCACAGGCCTTCACATGCAGGTGGCGCAACAATGGACCTTTATGTAACTATAGTCAAGATGAATAGTACCATGGCAACCCATGCAAATTGGTCATTCTGACCAATATATTGATCAATCCAATAAATATAAGTTCAACCAATCCAATTGGTTGACTCACAACATTTCTGAGCCAATACAGGCTAAACTGACTAGATTAGATCATATGTAATAAAATACTTGTTCTCAAGCTAGATCTGGTTCCCAGCTCTCAAAACTTGACTAGTTTTCACATATCTTTCACCTCAGCCATTCCTTGTTTAGAAAGCAAAGGCCCTTCACCTGCTCAGGCCTAATAAATCCAGCTGGATTTGCCCAAAATCAGATAAATGGATAAATGTCCTGAAGCATCCGTTGTCCTTAGTCCCACAGAGATATTCAAACATTTCAGTCAGTGCTGCATTAATCCTAGTATCTCAATTTAAATAATAGGTTTCATCTTTAACTTAGGCCTGACATTGATCTTATTATATAGACTTGGGCCTAGCCCTAACCCTGGTGCTTCCATATTTATTTTTTCAGGTATTGAATTGTTCTTTCCCACAGTTTTGAAAAGTTGTCTGCAGAAAATATGTGCTGTAAAAACAAATCTTTTCATTACTGAAGGGATGTCCAACAATATTTAAACATTATTTTAGTATAGGATTGGGAACAATGAGACAAAGGTGATGCAGGCAGCTGCATGTACCCTGCTCTCCACTAAAGCCTGTTCAGCCCTCTACTTTCAATCAAAACCATGCAGTCATCACTCTCCCTTCTGCCTGCCAAGCTTGGCTCATTTCTGTTTTTTCAGCAGATTCCCAAACGACAAAAGTGCTTCGCTGTGATTGGTCTGTGGCAGGATGGGCCTTTTGTCCCAGGACTGTCTGTTGTAGACCCTCTTTCGCCCTATCCACCCCATCCGCGCTAGTGCTATTAGCCCGCTGGGAAACCGCCCGTCTTAGCATTACCGGATCTACTATTTTGTCTCAACTTTTCAGAATTAATCTCCACATAGGGGTTCAGTGAGGTAAGATCATTCTAGATTCATATTCATTTTGGTTTAGATTTTTTTTAGAATAACTGCTAATACAGTATGTTATGCCTCCCTTGCGTTTCCATTCCATCTATAATTTTCTTTTCTCAACTTTAAATCAAGTTATTATTGTCATTACAAGGACCGCATAGAAGTCGCAAGCGCAAAGTACAGCTCAGAAATCCCATTGCATTTGCAGATAACACGACTATAGCTATATCGCAAAATGTCTCGAGAGAAAGTGAAGAATTGATAGATGCAATAATCTAACCATAATTCAAAACTAATCCAGTGGGAGCTGTAGGATTCTCAAACTACGGCACAGGAAATAGATTTGTCCTCATCTCCTTGCTTTTTCCTTAGATGTTTTAATTCAAATTCGCCCTTTGGAAAGATCTTCAACCTAACAACAAATCTTTTTATATTGTATGGGATATGGCGTTTACATGCGGGCAGATCAAAAGTGTTTTGCTGTATAGAGGAGGGCGCTTGAGCCAAAATACCATCCCAAGACGATACTTCACCAAATACACAAAGCTCTCCTGTTCACGGTTCAGACATATCTCTCCATCATGTGAGGAAATAACATGGTGAGAGGATAGGGTAGCCAGCTGGAACAATGCGCAATAGATATATCAAGTATCAAAGACAACAAGGGCCACGACTGATCTCCCTGCAACAAAGTGGAGCGTGCGCAAAGCTCTGACCTCGCGGTTCAATCCGCCGCAAATAATGTGTTCATTACAGACACAATTACAGACACTTGCATGCTCTTCGTGGAGATGAGAGGAGCCTGCTGCTGATGCTGACCAGGGAGGGCATAAGGTTTTAAGTTTTAGACTATTGAGAAGTAGGTCATTATGAAAAGATACATGTTTGTGAGCATATAACCCTGTATCATGTATGGATCAAGTATTTTTCCTCGAGAATATATTTTAAACAGTCTCTCACCATGGAATAAGCATCACCAGTCAGATTAGACCAACATGGAGGGGCCTCAGCTGTCCATCAAGGATTTGAATTCATTGTGTCCAATCAGGGAGCTGTAGGGGCGGGACTTACTAAGTACTCGAGCGTGGTATAAATGTGTTGATTCAAGTCAAAAATGCAAATGAACTGACATACAGGTGAAACTCAGCTTACAATGTAAAAGTCTATCTATTTTTGTTTATTGTACACTTATTTGCTCAAAATAAACATGGCTAATAATACAAATAATTAATCACAGACTCATTACACACAAAATTAGATGATGTCAAGCCTGTATATATTTTAGTGTTGATGATTGGCTCACAAGTGTCTAAACCCCAATAAAATCTCTCAGAAAATGATATTGTTTTTACTGTACTGTAAGCCACAATCATCAACATTAAGGAGCCTGTATCAGATTGGATTCAAATTTTAAGTTGAAATACAGAATGAAATGAAATGTTGAATGATATTGTATATTTTCTTATTATTTACATGAAATATTTCTAAAACAAGAAAAAGCAATTTCATTCTGCTCCTCCATTTGGAATAAGACAGCACTGGTTATAGAGGGAAAAAACACATACAAAATAAGAACAAAATAGTCATCTAAAATTACCACAATTGAAATGTTTCAGTTTGTGCGATTCAGATGAGATTAACATAATAATCTTCCCGGTGCTGTGTCCAGGTGCAGGATGTACAGCTTCATGGGCGGAGGGCTGTTCTGCGCTGGCGTGGGGAACATTCTCCTCATCGTCTCCACGGCAACCGATTATTGGATGCAGTACCGGCAGTCCAGCAACTACATGCACCAGGGGCTGTGGCGCTACTGCATGCCGGGGAAATGCTTCACGCACAACGACAACATCGGTCAGTGTGCTCAGAAGACAACTGTGGGCGTCACCATTCTTCGTGTTGATCGGCGATTTACTGCTTAAGAGAATTATAGCGATAAACGATTAACTTGAAACCAGGCCAGTACAGCAGGAAGTAATGCAGTTTATCAATGCGCACATGTACAGTGCCTTGTAAAAGTTTTGATACACTTTGAACACCTGCACGTTTACCCATGTTACAGCCACATAGATGAAAGACCACCACAATGTACCAAACAACTTCAAAGTGATCAAAAAATGTGATCTACAAAATTGCAAAGATGCTTTACCGTCTGTTTTGACAGTAAACGTGGCTACTACATCTGTGACAACAAAATAGTAAACACATAAACTCTATTCTGAAAACAGTCCTAATAAAAATAAAAAGTCAGGTGTATTTTGTGCATATCCTCATGTCGGCCCTCTACCGTTCACATAAACATAAAGCTGATAGAGCTAAATCCCAATTCTTTCCTTTGTCCCTGAGTGGATAGCACTCTCGCCTCTCAGCAAGAAGGTCCTGGGTTCGAATCCCGCTTGGAACAGGGCCTCGTTGAGTGGAGTTTGCATGTTCTCCCCGTGTCAGTGTAGGTTTCCTCCGGGTGCTCCGGTTTCCCCTTCCACTAAAAACATGCTCACTAGGTTAAGTCCTCCAGCTCTGGTAGTCCTGACCAAGCCGAGCATTAACATCTGGAGATGGGTTCCCGGGCGCTGTTACTACGGCGACCACTGCTCTTTAGTGGCATCAGGATGGGTCAAATGCAGAGGATGAATTTCCCTACAGGGACAATAAACTGCACATTTATATATTGGCCTCAAAGAACTTAGAAAAAGTAGCAGCTTATAGTCTGGCAAGTACAGGATATGGTCTAAAGTTGATTACAGTAAAACAACCACTGATGCAATTGAGCTTTTCAAAAAACTACAAAAAACACCAGATACCTTGGTATAATAATGTAACCTAAACAAGCTGTGGCCCGTGACCAGAATGACTGTTTGACCCCATGTGAAGATCATTGTCGCACATGAGTAGTTCAGAACGGTCACAGCGTGGGTCACTCTGCCCCGGGTCATTCTTGTTCCCCATGTTCCTCGCTCCTGCGTAAAAGCAAACGTTTGCCCAAATCAAATCAATAGTGTCTTCATAGTAATTGCGAATCTCACTCATGAACCCATTTCTCCTTCATCTGAGCAGAGCGGGCGATTGCAAAGAGACATTAAGAGAACATACTGTAGTTACCAGAAGATGCTTGGTTTGTGTAAAAGGTAGTAGGTATCCTTATATTAATACTCTTATCAACATGGAAAAGTGGGCAGGCTTGTTTTGGGTAAAGTATTTTTCATTCACAATTGAAGCCGAATCTCACAATTTATCACTGTCAATTAACAGATGTCAACAAAATATTTGGTTACAATAAAGCCTGTTTAGACGGAGACGCTGCGGAGACATTTTCCCAAAACGACCAGACTCCTTATTCGAAGTGCACAGCGTTCACATGAAGACAGAAAGGTTGTTTATCCAACATCATTTTGCATTTAACAGTAGCAGCAAAAATGGAAACTGCTACTACAGCTTTGCGTAGTTTTGTTTGGGCGAACGATGGAGTAGAATTGAAGCAGAGGTAGCATTAGTTTATCCTCCGCCATTGCTGTTTATGTTTGTTCTGGTCTACGGCGCATGTCCAAATGTACGTGTGAGGAAGTGGTGAGGTCATAGCAGGCAGAGAACTCACACCTTTTTCTTCACACTTGTGTTTTCACCCCCTCTGAAACACCGTCTTCATGTAAACAAAAGGCCAATCCGATACCCGACTCGAACCTTTTACTGTCGCAGCGTCCTTGTGTAAACAGCACTAAAAACAACCCTTCCTCTCAAAAACAGGGTCATACTATAAAAACTTACAAAGTGCACATGATTGTAAACTCAGCCTGTATGTGATACACTCTCAAAAATGCTCTCAAAATGGTTCTATCAGTAGTTTTCCCATTTGTTCAAAAATATATATACATTACAATACTTACCTGTGTGGAACGTATACAATATAACATATGTATATATTTGTACATTTGCCATATATTGTGTATATACTGTAAAATGTATGTATGTTATCTTTTTCACGTATGAAGATTGAGTTTGGAGTTTGAGACATCTTGCAGATTTACAACAACTTATAAGAGACCAATTTTGTTGATAGAGTTGCGTCTTAAAGATATCTTTGGGCTTGTTAATCACCCGTGGTCAAAAAAATAAGAAACTAACTCATAACATTAAATCCATAGCAACAATTGTAATATGCGTTTTACTGTGGAAAACCTCATTTGCACTTGCACAATTAGCCCCTAATGAGCTGCGTTTGATTCTGACTCGCTGCTCCATGTGGGGTCAGGCCCCAGTAGCCTTTAGCCTGACCCGTCCTGTTGACCTGTGTCCTCCTCCGCAGCCCACTTAGACGCCACACGCGCCCTCATGATCCTGTCTCTGCTGGCCTGCTTCATCGGCATCATCATCGGCATCATGGCCTTCATCCATTACTCCTCCTTCGACCGCTTCGATAAGACCTTCGCTGCAGGCATTCTGTTTTTCATCTCATGTAAGTCGTCTCCGCCTGAAGGTTGCCCCTCTCAGCTTTTTTAGTTTTTTTTGTTGTTGAGCTGACATTTGTATCAACAGCAGATGGTTATAGACACCAAAGACTAAGGCTGAAGTCATTTGGACTCTTCCATTATCGGCACAATCTCACAACAAAGAAAGCATGGCCTTTTAACAATCAAAGGGATTTCACTTGTGTCATTGTGGCTCTTTTTCACCGAGCTTTTGTTTTGAAAGAGTGGCCTGTTTGTTACTGGCAATCCACGGTTTTAGATTATGGCACTTTGGACGACAGATGTAGTGCACATAATGAATGCAATCACATTTATCAAAAGATGTGGTAAATCAGACTATGTGCTTTTGTTTTGCAGGCTTTTTAGTGTTTCTGGCTATGGCTGTGTACACTGGTGTGACTATTAACTACTACGGGAAGCGCTATGGAAACTGGAGGTTCTCCTGGTCCTATATAATCGGCTGGGTGTCTGTGGTCCTCACCTTCTTTTCAGGTAAAGTGTGGAGGGTGCACCACCTAAAACAGCAGCAAGAGTACTCCTATGGTAATATATTGGAGCTTAAGTGTGGCTATGTGTCAGGATGCAGAAAAAATGTCCTTGTTTGTGTTCGGCGCATCCTTCTTTGCTTCCACGTCAAAACCAGTGGGGGCGGGTCCCGTCTCAAAAATGTCCAAAATGACGTGCGCTGACATGCTTGCAATACCATCCCCGGCCAGAGGGGCTGGACCCGGAAAGGGAATTATTCAATGCAAATGTACGTATATTCTGACCTCTCAAAAACGTCTTTACAGGATGGTCCAAAAGTTAGCTCTTGGCCCAAAGCTCTGTTCCACATGTGTGTCAATGCTGAGGGGAGTGATTTTTTTTGGACCACTCTAGTTTAGTCGCTGTGGAATTATGAAGGATCTCGTTAAATGAATTGAGCTCGTGCAGCTGACGCATGCGCAGATGCGTTTTTTCACATTTTCCAGCCCCCGCGGCCATTTTGAATCACTCCATGAGAGCCCAATTTTTGGCCCATTTCCTTGAACAGCGGAGATAGGCGTGACGTCCGTTAATATTTACAGTCTATGGACAAAACGTTTCAAAACCTAAAGCTGGGGTATCTAACTTTCCAACTGAAAAAGACCTCAAACCAAATAACAAGCTGTAACAAGTTCATAGTTTAATCGCAACTCATCACTTATTTAAATAGTTGTTTACTAATTTTGTGATTTTCCACGTTTGTCCAATTTTTTTTGCATTTTCACCTCAAAGAAATACTACATTTGCAAATATGTCTGTAACTTGAGTAACACAAATTTGACAGATTTTCAAAACAACTGTCATCATGTTTTGTTTTTGGCAGTCAATTTGAAAAACTGCTTGGTAAAGAGCAAACTGTATGCCTGTAACTTGTTTGCTCTAGTGGCACTTTCTCTGTTTATGCAAATGAAGTCTTCACATTATTTTTTACACACCTTTTTTTATGAGCCGATTAACTCAATGCAAGAGCAAGATAAATAAAGCCATATACAACAACAACAATTTATTCTTGTATAGCCCTAAATCACAACAGAAGTAATCTCAGAGACTTAACAAAGCCATTGAAATCACCAACACAGATCAGAGAATCAACAGTTAAGACACAAAATATACACATATGAGTTGGTCCATAGGGAGAGACCAATGTCCATGAATGTTGATAAATGTCATACATGTCGTAGAATGTTAAATTGTCCTGAATCACCACAGTCCTTCTAGTTGGACACTAACTGCCCAACAGACCCTCCTGCATCGGCAAGGAAAAACTCACAAAAACCCAGTGAGAAAAAAAAGTGAGAAACCTCGGGAAGACCCATGGTTTGAGAAAGGGACCCGCTCCGACACGGACGGATGGGCTGTAGATCCAGGACCTAAGCTACAGAACGTGGACCAATGCCACGCAGCGGCCGCAGAGCGTGGACAGGTCCGGTGCAGGACTGAAGCACTCCCAGGCGGGTCGGGCAGGACAGTCCGCAGGTGTAGATGGAGGAGGCCAGGTTGAGAGGTCCCGTTGTCGCGCCATGAAACAGACAATAGGACAACGGGTGAATAGCAATGAACACACTACAGTCAAAATCTTAATGATGCAGACAGATAGAGTATGAAGGAGGAGAGGATTGTGCTATGTATCGCTCATCGTATTGAATCGTGAAGGAGCCAGAGATTCCCTGCACTAGTCGCAGTAGCCCTAAGTAACTTCAATCAATGTAATATAACATTTGAGGCGGTAAAAGCCCTATTTTTGTTTTACTATCATACGAAAATGCCATGAACTGGGTAATGTCTTTGTGTATCTTATGAATGCAAGTCAATGGACAATAGCCTGGTTTACTTTGGTGATAGAAAACCGTCAAAGCTTTTCCCTGGGTTAACCCTTTGCCAGAGCTGTCTAATCAATGACATGACATTATGAGTGTAGTGATGCTTTTAGTACGTGTCCATCTCTGGATCCTCCGCCCGCTGAGAGTACCTGCCAGCCAGCGGGGGCCCTACTGTACTCAATATCAAACGGCTTTAGTGGGAAAAACTGGCAGACCCCCCGTTCGACATGGCTTTACACATGAAAATCTAACACAATTATGTTTTTGATTCTCTGCCTCTCTTAAAAACAGCCCACACAGCGACGGTTATAAGGCTTTATCTTGTCCGCCGTCGAGGAGAGAGGGCAGTCTGTTTTGGCAGGGTAACGCCAAAGTACAAGCAATTTGGTGAAATGTGCCGAATGAGGAGGAAATGGGCAAAGGTTGAAGCTATTTGACTTTGCAGATCCAGGGAAATGGCTTGGTGTTTTTGCTCGTGTTTATGTGAGCACGGAGGGGAGAGTGATTAAATTACAGGCACTTGTAGAGCCTTGGGAAAGTAACATTCTGAGTGTCCCCTCTGTATTTGTTGGACTAGGATGTTTCTGACGGCACTGCGGCTTATTGGAGACTATGAGGAACTGCCAAAGAACTGACTGACGAAAAACACCAATATGTGCTGCTTTTGAGGCAGAAGTCTCAAACAGACTACTAAGGTTTTAATACCGAAACTAGTTTACATAAACAAGACAACATTTGACATTTCTTGAGAATGTATTAATACATTTTAAAACGGTATCTCCAAACTTTTATCCCGGGAAAGATACTATTTCAGGACAGTGTCACAAATATCTGGACACAACCTCAATGTATCTGAAATAGGTGATTCTACTTTAAATTGAAGAAAGAAAACATTACTTATGTGTGCAATAAGACCAATTGAAATCTACTTGTTTTATTCTTAATATTTTAAAAGAAAAAAAATATAAAAGTAACCACTGTCAGCATGGAAGGATAAATCTGGATTATTGGGAGGAAGGTCTAAAAGCAGATCAGCTTTTAGACCTGATCTGCTTTGGGCTATGGGCCCTATTTACATTTCTCTGTGGCCCCTGGACCTTTCCCACTAATAATTTGTCAAAAAGGTGAATCTGTAAATCAGTCTACAATACTCAGTTTCAGTTCCATCCAGAATACCTTCATATGAATGACTATATGAATGAATAACTGAATACCTCTGAATGTCAAACAAAAGCCAGATGCTAAAGACAAAGAAAACACTGTATGTTTTGTCTCCATGTTCCCCTATCCTTTAAATATGTTTATTACATAAATAATGTTGATTAATTATGTTAACTGAAGTAGCAGTTTTTACAGGAAAAAGCAAATATGTATTTTCAAATTATATTAAATGGTAGCTGCGTGAAGTTGGGTCTGGCCCCACCCCTGGCCTAAAGCACAGACCTTGTTTGAGTGGACTGACGTCTGCCATGGTGTTTTTCCAATTCGGGAAGAGGCCGATTTGAACATAAGGGAGATATTTCCTTTCAGGCGGGTTTAGCTTCACACCGTAACAGGGACAGACGTGTTGCTAGTTGCTTAGGCCCACGAATGAATGTGACAATCCTTATATGACTCATTTCTAGATTTAACCTTTGTTCTACCCATAGGTCAAAACTACCTGCCACAGCAATTAAAAGTACAACGAAAATACCCTAAATTAGGGTCTAGAATGGTCTAAAATACCCAGGGCCTGTCAAGTCAGGAAAAGTCGTCGAGTATTTTTTAATCACTTTAAGGGGAAGAAAATGGATGGATGTGGCGGGTCATTTTGACCTGCACAAAATGACACGTCACAAAAAGACAATATCAAACACGCCAAACCACAGAGTGAAAAAAGCGGTACTGACCCAGACAAGTTTCCATCCAATGTAAGTCACTAGGAGTCAGAGCGAGTAGGAGCAAAACTTCCCTATTCATCAAGCTTCATGGAGCTAGCGGGTTAGTATTGTCCATCGATATAAAGTCTATGGTCTAAAGAGTTGTTCTGTCTGATTGATCCTCAGGTATCTTCTATATGTGTGCCTATCGGATGCATGAATGTCCCAGAAGCGGGAACTCTCATTAGAAGAATGAGGGCATCATCCAACAGCTGGCTTCATCCCAAAGGCCCTTGTGGATCTGTGTGGATCCTGGTCCTGTTCGGACACCAGCGATCCCAGCTCAAGTGTAACTAATAAAGAGAATGAGAAACTGACTTGGCTTTTCTTGAAAACTGAAATTCTTTAAAGTTTTAAAATCACAATTATTGTTATTGCCATCATGATAACTTGGAATGATAACAGGAAGTCATAAAATAGGAAGTAGATTTAAGGCATGCAGAGAACATTTCTTAAAATTATTACTATATACAAGTTCACAATAGACATGTACAGTATATATGTACTAAAGATTCTATACGTTTATAGCCAGGCTTAAAGTTATCAGTGACTTTAACTGAGTTGAGAGAAACTTTTTGAAGACCAGTGCTGGTAAGACCCACACATGTCAGTGGTGCCATCGGAGGGGGCCGGTGGCACTACTGGTTGCCTCACTTCCGTCAGTGTGCCCCAGGGCAGCTGTGGTACAGTAGGGCTACAGTAATAGATTATCACCACTGTGTATGGGTCGAGTGAATAAGAAGAAGTGTCTTTGAATTTCAGAAAAAAAAATTTATGCTTAATGACTATATGTGTTTGTACAAAAAAGTGTACTCTTGTGTAGTGTTAACAAATTTCCCTGGATGCTGATTTCTTGTGGCTAGGTTGCTAGGATACCGTACCAAATTCTTAACTGTAATGGAAACAACCAGGTAGACAAGAGCCGAGTAGAACCAGTACAACAGCAGTATACTAGTCGAGTCCGGTTCGGCCCTGTTGCGCTGGTTTGATACATAAACTGTAAACATTAATTGATATCGCCCCCGTGTGTGAAAACGATGGCACCGATGCATCAGACGATAGAAACCTTAAAGCCCATATTCACACACACACCAAACCCTAATTCTAGGCAATGTGGGTGAAATTTCTTGCCTAAGGACACAAAGACAGTTTAGCACTTTTCAGCTGCAGCCACCCCACTGTGGCACCTGGTGTTCCCAGAGGTCTCCCATCACAACAGCAACCAGGCCCTGCCCTGCTTAGCTCCAGAGGCCTGACGGAATCTGGCTTTCACCTGCAGGTATAAACGTATTAATGATCCAATCCTTGTTTTAAAAAATATAGTTTTATATTTTGAGGCCAAAGTAAGTTGCACAGAGGAAATTGTCATAAAATCAAGGCTATAGGACAGGGGTCTCCAACCTGTAGCTCAGTAGCCACCAGTAGCTCGCCACCCCTTTACAGGTAGCTCACCAAAGGATATAGAAATGAACAAATCAAATACTTAATCATTCAGATTGTCTTATTCTTTATCATTGTTTATCAGTATAAATACACTTATTTTGTGCACTAGTAACAAATATACAATGATAAAAAATGACTGTATCCGATATCAGGCTTGTTCACACCAATATATCACAATTTTTTCCCATGCAGGGCCACTTAAAGGAGTAGCTCTCTGCTTTTATCGTCCCGGGAAGGTGGCTCTCTGGGTGAAACAGGTTGGAGACACCTGCCATAGGGTATTTCCCTTAAATTGCCTTCTATAATAATAATATTATATTTGTTTTAAATGTAGGCCTATAAATAACCACTAAGCAGTGCGTAAATTGCATGACGCATGCACCCCGCACGCGCCCACATTTCACTTAATGAAATGGCTCCAAAAAGCTGCTTAACGTCTCCACAAGAGCCAATCCTTAAGACGATTTCATCACCATTTGTTTCATTTACTTTCTCATTTCCCCTCTAAAAGCGCGGGCAGGTGCAGCGGGCTCACCTCCATCTGTCATGTTCTGAAAAGCCCTTTCTGCTCCAGCACCTCCAAACGCCAAGGTAACGGCCCTTAATCCGGATCGATCACTCAATGCTTTCACTAATCTACCATCAAATCATAATTGGTGCCACGGTGCTCGCAGCATCAAGGCGGCATATTTGTTTTAATGTGACTTACTCCACAATAAAAGTCATTCATTACAGCCTTTATCCCAACAAAGAGTCTTGTGAAGGTAAAATGTTGTGAACAAATCCGACCACAACATGCTGTCTTCATCTTATTAGTAAAAATGTTATATTTGTGGTCCCTGAGAGAGACGCTGTGGCTGCATTAGCGGTTTCATTTAGATTATAGATATACAGTTTTAAATTAAGATGCTCCTACAAAGAATACCCTTACATTAACTTAAAAAAAACAATGACAATTTCAGAGTTAGTTGGAATGAAAATAAGAGCTTTATTGTTACAGAAAAAGATTAGGAGATCCTTTATTCGCCCGATGGGAACTGTCAGTGTTGTATCACAAGTTACAGAACAGTAATGAGGGGCACGCACCACAAATCAAGGTTAGTAAATATATATAGCACAAAAAATATATATATTTGGCTTAATAAAGACAACAAATATAAAACATATACACATATAATAAGTATGAACCTGTTTTTATAAGATACATCAGTAATACACTCAATCATTGAAAGTCATATTCATATTGTTTAATTTAATTATAGGCACGCACATGGTACCTAGTCTTAATGGCACAGAGCGCAGTGTGGAAATTATTGGTTTAGTTTGGTAATAATAATCCACTAGTATTCATTCCATGCCTATAGATCCGGTACATAAACAATAAATACATAATCACGGCTTTAATTGAACAAACTCGGACTCGGAGGAGCACGGGGACTGGCCTCCTGCTGGGACTCTGAGGAGCACGGGGACTGGCCTCCTGCTGGGACTCTGAGGAGCACGGGGACTGGCCTCCTGCTGGGACTCTGAGGAGCACGGGGACTGGCCTCCTGCTGGGACTCTGAGGAGCACGGGGACTGGCCTCCTGCTGGGACTCTGAGGAGCACAGGGACTGGCCTCCTGCTGGGACTCTGAGGAGCACAGGGACTGGCCTCCTGCTGGGACTCTGAGGAGCACAGGGACTGGCCTCCTGCTGGGACTCTGAGGAGCACAGGGACTGGCCTCCTGCTGGGACTCTGAGGAGCACGGGGACTGGCCTCCTGTTGGGACTCTGAGGAGCACAGGGACTGGCCTCCTGCTGGTGCCCAGAGTCAGAACTAAACATATCAGGAGACAGCATTTCAGATATATGCAGCTAAAATGTGGAACAGTCTTCCTGAAATTGTGAGACACGCTTTTCCAGTCACAATATTCGGATCCAATTTAGTTCAAAACCGGTTTGGCTTTTCACACAATTAAAGGATTGCATCATCACTGTTCTAATGCGCTGTGATTATATGATTTAAGGTTTGTTGTCTTGTTTTCTTAAGCGCTTTTGAGTTGCCTTGTGAGTCAACTCTGTGCGATCCAAAAAAAACTTGTATAGCAATTCCTACTTGGCCCGAGGACGACTGCTTCCTCTCTAACACATCCCCATAATTACCTAACAGCATTGGTGGGCGAATTCTTCCTGCATTAGAACACTTTAGCATTTACGGCCCTGATTGGAAATGTGCAGACGACGCAGTATCAACAAATTACGGCCGCTGCGCTTTCTGTCGCAAACGGCCACACGAGCGCCTCTGGTCCCCTCCCTGATTTGAATACCCACAATTACAGCCAATTTGGGCGGAATTACAAGGCGGACCTGCTGAGGCCTGGTTCTCCGGAGTGTCGCACCGCGGAGTCGAGCGCGCACAGACGCAGCAGTTATCCAAGTGATCAACGCGCACAATTAAAAACTCATTTGGTTTCCAGCGTCTTGGAGGCAATTTAAAGTTTGGAGTTAGTGCGCGTAATTGGTGAACGTGTTTGGGGGGGATTTGGTGTGCTTTGAATAAGGTTTTTGTCATTTTTTTCCTATAGACTTTGATACAAATTAGTGCCTTTTAAAGCTTCATTCTCGCAGATTACATCGAGTTTATAAATGCCTATGTTTTAACGGTATCCAAAAGACGGCTATTGTTTTCGTGTTTTAGCCTGTTCTGTGAGCAAAGGAATCCATCTATCATTATAGCAATATGGAAAATGTCCCATTGTGGCGCGCAACACGGATCTCATCCTATAGAAATCATTTGCGTTTTAATGGTTACCAGAAGGTGACATTGACATCGATTACGTTGCATTTTATTCACTTTTTTTCATTATATAATTCATAGTTTTTCAAAGCAGCGTCATGGAGGTGTCTGAAAATCCCAGTTTTCAGCCTCATGTCGCTACAGCTCTGCTCTGAAACCGCACTGGATGGAAACACTCTCCCATAGCTGTATGCACTGATTGTATATATTCTACTGTGTTTTCTCTATATATAATAATCTTAAAATATGGACCAATTGAATTTGAGTCTGAAATAACGATGAATAAGCTATAGGCTGCTGTGTGCACGAAAGAGTCTACAATTATATCAGTAATTTGATGACAGGCCTGGTCTTAATTGTGTCCAAAAAGAAAAGGCATGCACTACGCACATTGCTTTGCACTTGGCGTTTGTGTTCACTTGTTTTCATGTCATGTCAAAAAGGCCAATCGAAAATGCTTAAACTTTGCTTTTTACAAGACATATTGCAGTGAGCTTTGAGTTTGTATCCTTGATTTGAATCTAGACTCCAGAGCATTTTCCTCAGTTAAGGGTTTTACTTGAAGCGCCATCCTGACATTGTAGTAACTGATTTATACCTTATGTGTTGTACTTTGTTTCTGTATTTAGCTAAAGATGGAGATTTTATTTTCAAAGTTAATTTTCACTTGTGTTTTTCCTCATTCCCTTTGTTCTGTGATGCAACACTGACATTTCCCCACGGTGGGACAAATAAAGAACCTCTTAATCATGTAATATCTAAAGTATTTGTGTGTATTTTCAGTCAATATGTAACTTTGCAGACTGTTAGCATGCCTCCTATGAAACAATGTTGGACAGGATTATACTTCACATTTTAAATCTCTCATTTTAAGTCTTTTAAAAGTAAGTGAGTCATAAAACAGTTGCTTGTGGAGAAAGTCATGTTCTGTTTTCAAGCAATAGGCCTATATAAAGAATGGATTCGAATTAATTTTATTTAAAGCTGATCTGAAAAAATATTGTTTTCATGGGTTATTTGTGTATTGGCTTTTTTATCAAAGTTGGGTGTTATCTATATTTAGTTTAACTCAAAAATGATCAATTTTTACGCGTGCCTCGGTTATCAAAGACACCGTTCGCTTCCCAAACTTAACATTTCAGGGTGGAAGCAATATTCGCGTGTCCATTTCGTCTGCGTTTATTTGCAACCTGTTTGATTCTCCCATTCGCGTGTATAACGTCTCTCTCAGCCAATCAGAAGCGTCCTCCTACCGTCTCCCAACTCCCCCATTGCTCTGAGCGCGTTCTAATTGGCTGCATCCCAAATCACTTCATCCAATCCTCTCCTCCGCTCGGATAAATACTTGTTTTTAGCGCGCCCTCCTCTGTCACTGTCTCCCCCTTGATCAAGCAGAGGTTACTTTAGAACCGAAAGGAACTCGCGCGCACATGCAAGAATAGACTTTATCACAAAACTTTTCCAGAATAAATAAATAATGAGTCTGAACTATGCTTCGGCGGCGCCCACGCAGAGATCCACGTCGTTTTTCATCGAGGACATTCTATTACACAAACCAAAGCCGCTGCGTGATGTTATTCCTTCGCCCTTTTGCAGCTCGCTCGCCTCCCGAATGCCCATCCTGGAGTACGGATACCCGCTCATGCCCACGCCGATCCTGGCCCCACATCCACACCATCCCCTGCACAAGCCAGAGCACCACCAGTACTTCTTCACGTCTGGTAAGCTGTCAGGTTTATGCATGCGTCCTTAGAAGACTATCATAAGTCAATGTGCATAAGAGTAATATTTGAACTGCGTTATTGACAAAGTCTGGTGTCTAATCCTGGGAAATGTTGAAAGAAAAATACAGGCCTAATTTTAGATATTTTTGTGTGTGACTAATTTAATTTCACAGACTTATATACGATATTATCCTCATCCCACATATAATGATATAAACATTGAAAATCTCATTATTTTTTATTACTTTGCATTATTTGGGGCTGGAAAAATGAAAAGTGTAAACAATCCCTCTTTCTTTGTTTTGCAATCCAAATATTCAGACTTCGCCTACAAGCTTTCATAGCTTCTTGGAATGGACAATTACTTCAGTGTCATACAGATACATGCACAAGTTGAAATCAAATGCAAAAAAAAAAAAGATACTGGATCCTGCGTATACACGGCCATGCATCCCTCGGTTGATCCATCTATTGTAGACCACAAAAAATATATGTCTTAAGAATACTGCACCTCCAAAGCTTTTAAAATCATACCTGGAGATAATTCCCAATATTATTATCATCATCATTATTATTATTATAGTAAACATTATAACTGTTTCTTTATTATAATCCCGTATATCTTATCTTGTAGGGATGCAGATGCCCGCCTTGTTCCAGCATCACGCAGAGCTGCCCGGGAAGCACTGTCGGCGCAGAAAGGCCCGCACGGTCTTCTCTGACTCCCAGCTGTCCGGTTTGGAGAAGAGGTTCGAGGTGCAGCGGTATCTGTCCACACCGGAGCGAGTGGAGCTGGCCACGGCGCTCAGCCTGTCGGAGACGCAGGTAGAACACGCACGTATGTGGAGAAACAGGGATGAGAGAAAGACTGGAGTGATACAAAACGCAAGGAATGAGCTGTAGACTGTTGCTATTGTGTTAAAAATGTCAACGAAAATTAAAGAATTGTTTGTAAATGTGTGCGTAAAAGTGTAACGACGGTGCGTAATCTCTTATCTATTTTTTATTTGTATTTGTATGTAAGAATGTCAAATGTGAAATGGTTTTGTTGTTCTGTTTTAACCCTATACCCTATAAATTCCATTGGATATTTTTTTGTCTTAATAACACGTTCATTCACGCATTTTAGCACGTATTGTATGCAATATTTTGAGATTTTTTTTGCCCCCATCCCCATTCAAAAAATAACTTATACTTTGTTCATATGGCATCAGTCCTCATTGGCCATTGTTTTGAACCTCCTGCATATTGTACTGCGGTGATAACGTCCTCCATAAAGCAATTAAGCAAATAATAATAGGCCTTATGAATGATGCAGAATAATTTATAGCCTGATTCCTGGATTGTCAATCTCACAATAGGCCTCCTCAACGTTGCTCCATTTTTCCAACTGTTTTTTTTTTAGGAGGTCTGAGAACAGTGAGGATTCTGAACATTTAAGGGCATTTTTGCACGTTTAACAAATCGGACATGCATGACGTTCTCCATGGACAATGGCTCCTCTGTGTATTTGATTCTTGCTGCTGCTATGGAACAATTCTCTCATAGACCTGCATCTGTCTTTTTTCATTTTGTCTAACTTTCGTGTGTCCAACAGGTGAAGACGTGGTTCCAGAATAGACGCATGAAGCACAAGAAGCAGCTGCGAAAGGCCCAGGATGACCGGAAAGGACCCGGGGACGTGGACAGATCCGCGGATAACTCCAGCGAAAGCGAACTCACCCACGACAAGACCTCCGGGGAGCTCAAGCACAGCGCGTTGGACCCGGATTCGTATCTGATTGACGAGCACGGAGAAGACGACGACGAAGATGACGTGGACATTGAAGAGGACATTTGCTCACCGGGACATCTACTATAGTCGGAGCGCACGGTACTTCACGGGACTTACTCAACTATTCCAGTTTGTAAATATTCTCGAAAATCCTCAAAACAATGTTTATATTTATTATCATGCTGTAAAAAGAAATTGCTCTTGAAATGTTTAGTTTTGTCCCCTCTTTTTCTTTTATTCCACTGAATTTTATTATTTGGCAATTGATAATATCTCTATGAATTACCTTGTTATTCTATTATTACTATTATTATTATTGGTATTATTATCATTCAAATCTCAAAAATGATAAACGCATGTTCCAATATTTGCACTTTTACAGGACTTTTTTTGTATCTATTTTATGGAGCTGTGTCTATACTGCAAAATATTTCATGCTGATCTTTTCACAAACATTTATGCGAGTTGTAAATACGTATAAATATAGTACAGAATTACAACAAATATTAATGAATGGCGTTTTTTCTTCTTCCTCTTTGCAAGTTTGTACGCGCGTCATGTGAATGGCCTTTACGCACGCGGTGGAGCCCCATTTTTATTCCTTTTATTTGTCCATTTCTGGGTTTAAGAGGCGGCAATCCGAGCTTCAACCCAATTCTCATAGCTCCATATTTCGATGAGTTCAAAAATAGCACGCAAAAAAGACAGTCATGTTTGGTGGGAGCTGTTGGGTTAAAAGCAACCGATGCAGCAGCAGTGGCGTCAGCAGCAGCAGCAGCAGTCAGACGCACGGCCGTGAATGGGAGAGTGGGAGGCTCGGGAGCGTGCGGTGCGCATGGAGAGATGGTGGCAGACCTCTTCAGTGGCTCACCATTTGTTTACTGCTTTCCCCTGAATACGAGAGCAAGTACTGGAGCTGCTTTCATGAGCTGTTCTCATACGGTTCAGGGACTCCATTGAAGCGGTGTTATCCCAGTGTGGAGAAACAAGCGATGATAGCAGCTCAGCGTTTAAGCAGGCATGGCGTGATGGCGTTTTTATATACTCAAAAAAAGAATGAAAGAAACATCTGTTGCGTTAATATGACATTACAACATTCCAAAGAGCCTATATGATTTAAAATTGTGGAGGGCAGTTCAATAAGTACATGGAATTGTATCGTTTGTGAAGTTGGTGAATCCACAACTTTACAGAGTTGTGGTTTCACCAACTATAGAGCAGAGAATCAAACCGTTCAAAATGCAATAATAACTATCACATAAGAGCTATTGGTCCATAGGGAGTGGGATGAACAATTGCCATACATGTTAATACAAGTTTAAAAAATCTATCTCTTGGTCAAAAGTATGGAATCCCTGCAGTCCACACAAAAAATATTGTGACAAAGTTTCATACCTTCTTCAGAGAACTAGGGTTTAATTATTTTCACATAAAAAGCTGATAGGAGTGGTGACAATATTCCAAACGCAATGTCAGCCAGAAAGGACCTGCAGACACATAATGGCGTGTTCAGATTAAACAATGATAATCTTTAACATTTCTTTCAACAATCGCCAAAATGCTGGATATGAAGGCAACCTATTTATGTTTTACCATTAATTGCAAATCTTAAAATGAGACTCGATGTGATAAAAATAATAGAGTCGGTTTGCACTGGCAGCAAAGCGGTCTCTGTTTGTAATGTAACAGTTTCCTTTTGTTCCCAAAGACAAACAGACAGATGCTGAAATATAAGACATTTTAGTCTCTAAATGAGTCTTATTCATTTTGTAAAAAAAAGGCTAAAAAAAAAAGTTTAAATCAAACATGGAATCAGAGCTAGACTGAATAGTTATCCACATTGAATCAAATGTCATGCAGGTGATAATTCTTGCATCCAGTTTTATCAATAGCATTAAACCGTATTGTTGTAATTTTTATTTTTTACATATTTATTTATTGAAGAGTCACATTTTTGTCAAACACATTCCCAGATTGTAAATTTCCAGTTTTTTCCCCCAAAACCCTGCACATTAAATGTAAAGTATAACATTGCAAGATCCTAAGGCAGATAAAGGAACCCCACATCTGTTTTTAATATATATTTTTTTACACAAAGTCTTGTTTCTGTGGTGCATACAATAACAATAGAGCATTCTAAATATTTTTTGTATGATTTTATGAGCATATACACGGATTGTTCTGTATGCTTCTTTCAGCAGGAGGCCAAAACGTTTCCTCAATATCTCTGAAGCAACCGAACGCGTATAGACCCTATGCAGGCCTTATATTTCTGCAAATCAATTATATAAAACATATTCAAATAAATAGTTAATAGCTGTAAGCCCTCTTTAAAAACCTGCTTCATTTGCACAACATTACCCCCTTCCTTGTGTTTTACGCCGTCACATTGAGCTCCTGTCTTTTTGAAAAGCAATTTATCCCATCTTCAAAACGCGACGCTGATTACGCAGTGCAGAGAGGAGGAGAAAAAAGCAGTTTGGAGCAGGCCACGCAGAAGGTGATCAATTAAAAGATTAAGCGGTTTGCGACACACGGGCGCATCTGCATTTGGACCTAATAGTAGGGTCATCAGCTCGTTTTCAGTCCGCCTTATACCGAAAATCTCCCTCCTCCACATCAAAGCATCCTCCCCTCCCTATACCCCAGCGTTCCCCATCTCTTCCGAATGGGCAGAAAGGGATGCTAATTTGTCTCCTTCATGTACAGCGCTGAAAGACCTCTTCAATTAACTGGATTTCAATGGCGAAAACAAGTAGGTGTAGCAGCAGGCATGGACGCAAAGAGCCCGCGTGTCTGGCCAGGACGCGCTGCTCATTAAATCCGAAAAGGGCTCCCGTTTGTTTCCAATGGCGCATCTGAGGGCTTAACACTAAAAACATACAGCTTCAAAGAGTCCATGATGGGTTAAATAGAGACTATAATCTAATTAAAATATTGTACAGAGGTAAATAGAGCTTTGATAATGATCTGAGAGTTCTATTAGTGAAATGAGCGGCTGGAGAGCGCGCAAAGTGCCTGCAGGGTGGAGTTGTCACTTAAAGCGGTGCGCGCGCATTAAGGAGGAGGTGGGTGGAATCAGGTGGTGTTTGCGGTGTCGTTTCCCACCGGAGTGTGAGGTCTCCGTCTGTAAAACAAGACTGACCCGTGTCCATTTTCGACGAGGAGTGAGGAGCCCCAGGAGCCCCATGGAGACAGCAGAAAGCCTTCATCCATGCAAGTGCCATGAGAAAAAAGGCTTACAATTTGCTCTTTACCAAAAGCCAGATGTATAGTGCCATACAAATACATAATTTTTAAAGAGATTATTTGGACACTGAAAGACTCTTCACATTCACTCCAAATACGGTGATGATACACTAGCCACAGCTGCCCTGGGGCACACTGACAGAAAATATGCAACCATTATGTGCCATTGGCCCCTCCGACCACCACCAACTATTTACACGCACACACTAGACTCATAGGCAATGTGGTTGAAGTGTCTTGCCAAAGGTCACAACAGCAGTTTGACACTTTACAGCCGCAGCCTCCATGCTGTGGCACCTGGTGTTCCCAAAAGTCTCCCAATAAAGTACTGACCAAGCTCTAACCTGCTTATCTTCAGCGTCTGACGGGATCTGGCTTTCACGTGGCATCACAAGTAAAGTTTCATCCCTTTTTTGAGCAAATTATTTCAACTTAACAGCCAATAATAAAACATGTTGAGAGTGTGACTGCAGAGGTATACAACATTTAATGAGCATACACGGATAGTTTTGTCTTTTAGCAGGAGACAAACCTCAAAATCTCTGCACTAACCCTAGAATAATGCAAATAGACCCTGATAATGTACTGGGGCATTTGGACAGCACTAGTTGCAGGCCCTGAAGAAAGTCCTGTGAAATGTATTATTGCAGTTTGTATGAGGCTTTCTTTAAGTTTTGTACAGTTGAAAAGCTTTGTTTTGGCCCCTTTGAATTTTAAGGACAATTCACAACCAAAATTAGGTCATATTGTTCTTGATGCTTAGTGTAAAGTCCACTTTATAGTTCTAAGATATAAACTTTGTTCTTTCAAAAATGATAAAAGTTATTGCTTCTTATGAAATATGAATTTGCCGTTACAATAAATGTCGGGTTGACTGGGACGTGAACTCAAAATAGAATCAGAATGAGCATAGAATCAGACAATAGTGTGTTGAAATATATTGATGTCGCAATGTACATTACGACACATGGGCCACTTTACAACACCTGTTATATATCAATAATATATTAATATGGGTCGAACTTGTATTCGACCCACAATAGAGAACTTTCAGTGTTGCAGCACGCATACAGGACAGTAGTAAGAACACACAAGATGAACACAATATATACAGATAAGTAGCTGTTAATGCTTCTTAAATAATTGTAAATGCATGGTAGGAGCAACAAATATACGTCCATATACATACATATATATACACATAATATATATAATGTTGTAAGTTAAAGCACTTTGGGCAGAATAAATGGATAGATAAAAAGACAATCAGCGGACATTCTGAAGTGGCAGTATTGCACACTTTGTAAAGTTCCCCAAGATGGCTGCTCTTGTGATTTGGGCTAAACAAAAATAAACTGAATTGAACTTAAGTATGTACTATATAAATATGAGATGGCACATACAGGCTCAGACCTCATACTTATATTTTCATGTTTAGTGCAGTGCTGTAGTAAATGTGTTATCAACGGCGTTAATGCAAAATAAAAAAAATTATTGCGCAAATTAACGTTTTTTGACCAAACACATTTTGTCGTTTTTTCACATGCTTTTGGAACAATTCGTAACATTAGAAAAACTACGAAACCAATCCTGATGGAGCTGGATCGGAATCAAAAGTATCTGGTGTTGATGTAGTGTCAAAGGCTATTAGCACAAACATACTTCATATGTATTTGTACTGAAAGCCTCATCACTGCGTCTTCGAGGTCACAGCCCAAATAAAGGATCATTTAGAACTGAGATTTATTATCAGTTAACGATGACATTAATGGGATTAATAACATTTAAATATGTATATTGTTTGAAGCACAAATTTTGCTTGATTATAGTTTTATACTTCAGCTAAAGATATAAAGTTGTTCTTAGCGTTTTGAGTGCTCCTTTCAATCGTTTTGTTTTGTACGTATGCTACAAAACTGACATTTCCACAGTGTGAACGATCAAAAGTTCAATGATAATAAAAAATAAACCTGTCAAGCCTATTCCAATATTGTCGTTTATCGCAATAATTATCCAAAGCTATATTTTATTATATCTATAAAAATGGTCAATCCAAAAGTCCCCCACAGTGCTGGTTCACTGTGACTTAGTTTTGTGATTTGAAAAGCACATTCATAAAGGATCCTCAAACTCTTTCTTCAGACCATGTGTATTTTGCGTAACATTGCCACTGCCAGCTTCTCCTCCTCGTGTCTCTTCCTGAGGAGTTCCAGGGAGGTGAGTTCCAGGGAGGTCGTCCGGGAGAGGACCAGTCCCTCCACACAAGGAGCAGGCTCAGTCAGGTCATCAGAGTCCAACTGTCTTTTCTCTTTTGTTTTAGACTGCAGAGGTTTGGAGATGGTTTTAGCATACTCCAAAGCCTGAAAAGGAACAAAAGAAAGTTGAAGAAATTGCGTTCAAATATTTCGGATTTTGTGTTATTGTTAAGTCATCAAAGACAATAAAGATTAAAAGTGAGTGCTTTGTGAGCAGGTGCCTGCTCATCATAATTTAGGTCAATTTAAAGTAAAACACAAATATTTATTTTTTGGTTATAATAATTCCACATTCTTCATTATTTGTTTGGCAGTGGGGCAGTGGTTCTCAATAGGTGGGTCGGACTCAAAAGTGGGTCAAAAGCCTCTCCTATGCATTCTAAAATATGTACTGTGTCTTCAAAAAACAACAAGTCATATATAAAGAAGTTACATTATCTTTAAAAAGATTTAGATTCAGATTCCGTTTATTTGCCATTTGCAGTAAAAGCACAATACAAGTGCTCTGTTCACACTGATAACAGCTTGTGGATAAAAACTGTTAGCGTAACGAGATGTCCTGCATCTCAGAGAGCGATATCTTCTGCCAGAGGGAAGAAGCTGGAACATGGCTTTTCCAGGGTGGCCAGAAGAGTCAAACTATTCAAGATTGCCTTTGATTTAAGAAAATCCTATTAAGACAAGTTGGACATGCACAAGTATTAATGCTTTCTGATTCTGAATGTACCGCAATAACAGCAGCAAGTCTTTTGGAGTATGGCTACAAGATTTGCATATCTAGAGACAGAAAGTTTAGCCAATTCCTCCAAAGTATTAACTTATGCTGTATAAATACTTGTCCATGCCAACTTTTTGGTTTTCTTTAAAAAATATAAAAAACAGAACCATGTGTCCTTTTTGCTTTCATTTCACAGTTGTCTGTTACTTGTGTGTGAACTTTTAGTAAAACATTCAAAATAAAATGTTTATGTTTGCAAAAGATCAAGCTGCATGTAAACTAATGAAAATATACACATCTAAATGAGTCTCAGATTGATAAATTTGTGTAATCTCTCAGTCGTCAGGGATTGATAGTGGGAGTGGCCTGTACACAGACCTGCAGGCATTCCCTTTATCACTACCACATGATCACACTCGCTAATTGTTTTCCCAGCACATAATCTGTTTTTCCTGCGTCACTTGCGACCGCTTGTCATGCAAATACACACCTTCATCCTGGACACTTTCTTCTGGCTGCTCTCCGCATCCTTTGCTGGTAGACTGGCAATCCTACTCATGGTTTTGTTCTGCCGGCGGACCGCATTTGAATACAGCTTCTGCCGCCTCATTTTCTCAGCATGTTGACGGTGACAGAAGGGAGGGAGGCAAGAGAGAATAGACAGGAGCAGATTATGAAAGGGGGTTTTAATTAACTGAGCCGTTTCTCCCTTGCTTATTGTGCGCACCCTTCGCCGCAACCTCTCCAACCCAACGCGACAAAAACCCAACACAGCCATCTATTCAAGGGGTCTTTCAACATTTACACATATCATTCACTAATAGGCTTGGCCCTGAAGATGCACGGGGCTCAATCTAGTGCAAATTGGCCAAACATGCTCACTTTTTACAACCGCAGATTAACTAAAGATATATCAAAGCACAAAGAGCACTTAACTTCTCCAGGGGACTCTCATTTGCTTTGTAAATGTCATTTTATCCAACTCAGACAATTGAGAAAGGGGTCAGCTGGAGACAATGTCGCCGGTGTATTGTTTTAGAAGGCACGGCAGATTGGTCAAAACTAAAAATTACAGTAGGTAAAGCATGTACGTGGCAAGTTCTGGGGCATATTAAAGCTGGGGTACCCAACTTTCACACTACAAATGGAACTATAAATATCATTGCACTCTAACTAGTTCCTCGCTCTAACAGTTTGGTCACCCATCTCCATCGCCATATTTTATCTGCTATACCATTGTACTATTTCCTTGGCATCCTAGCATCCTCTTCCCCCAAATATTATGTTGTATTGCCCTATTGTTAAAGCTGGGGTACCTAATAAAATCCATCGGACAACTTCCTTGCCCTCAATTCAAGATGTGACAAGAGGCCAGAAATACATGCGTGTTAGATGGATTTACATAATTAGGTACCCCAGCTTTAACCATAGGGCAATTAAACATAATATTAGGGGGAAGAGATAGGGAGTACAGTAGACCAATTATGATTATCTCTACTGGTAACCAAACTGATTTGAGTTAGGATTGGAAATAAGATAAGATGTCACATTTGGCACAAATAGAATTACTCAGATTGTGCAAAAAGACAGAAGTGTGCAAACATGTTAAGGTTAATAATATAGTCTACGCAGGATATAATTATGTACAATAAAAAAAGTGGCAAGAGCAGTGTTGGTGACTTAAAGTGACTTATTGTACAGTCTGACAGCATTCCATTTGTGGTGTGAAAGTTGGGTACATCAGCTTTAAGGTTATTGAATACTGCAACAGATGAATCCTTACTGTTTTTTCCACAGCAGAGAAATCGGGACCAAGGCCTTGAAGCGTAACATCAGACTTCAGCTGACTGTAATCCTTCAGGCTGTACGCCTACAGAGAAACAAAAGTCACAACAAAAATTAGCTAAATATTTATTGATAGACAAATAATATCCTAATGCAGAATTTCACAACCTACGTTCAATGGGTTTGAATAACTTCACAAATTATTATGAATACTATTTTAAGCCTCATACAGTATCTTTTGTCTCCTGCAGATTAAAACCCATGAATCATATGGGGTCGGGTGATCTGGGGGAAAATGAAATAATGGCTGATTATTCCTAAAATACATCAATTAGTTGTTTGGACCCCAAAATCTGTTTTATAAATTTGACCAAAACAGAGATGACTAAATGTCCTAACTTGACATTTTCATTTAAATCATTGATTAGGTGGGATTAATCAATTTACTTATTACAGCCCTAATATTGATGCCTCCAACTCAATTACTTGAAAATACTTTAAGTAAAAACAAACTAACTGATATGATAAAAATCAATATTTGTATTGCCAAATTGATCTAACAGTCCTAAGTATTTACGCTGCTTGTATTTATTGCTTTTCCCAATATTAAAGTTGTGTTGATAAATGCGATTCAGCAAACAGGAGATTGTGGTCTTTCAACTTTTGGCTCAGCTCGACTGTAAGGTCAGTCTCAACGAGAGGCTAATGTGCAGGGAGCAGGATGACCTTACAAAGAGGTCTTGACATGAATAAAAAAACAATTTCATGTGTGATACTCACAGGAGAACATGTTCGTTCAAGCTGGAGTACCGAACCTTTTTGTTCATAAATAACACTATTTGACGCTTTGACCTGAAAGCTGATTGGCTGAGTGAGGGTGGTCTTCTAAAAAAGCTGGGCCCCAAAAGTCTGAGATGGGACAGAGACCAAAAACGACGTGCATGGAAAATCTAAAGTAAGAAATAGTTACATAGATTTCATTGAAGTTTATCTGGTGTAAAATGTGGGCATTAGTACCATTTGGAATGCTCCAAGGAATCTTGATCACTTTGATGTGAAAAGTATTTGCCGATAGCCAATATGAATGGAAAACGGCAAACATGAACTGGCTGGTGGTTTTTCATCCAATCTTGATAAATTAACAATCATAAAAACAGAGCAGATGTGTAAAACATCTGTTATTATAATCACCTTATTTTAACATTTGCACTATTTCTAACAGGTTCTTATTTTAATAAACTTTTTCTCAACACACAAAAGACTATAAAAAGACTTCTACTGCGGCACATCTCAGCATGTTAAGGCCATAATTTAGTTTATATTAAAATGTCTAAATGTCTAAAATGTTTAGGTCTAAAATTAGTTCTAGAATTTAAAATCATTATTTAAAAACATCCTGAAATATATTTGTTATGATAATGTTAAATATAAAAATCGTAATATTCCTTTATTTAGAGCTAGAGGGGGCGGTACAGACGGGACAGAGTATTCATAGATGGGACAGGTGTGGGGGAATCGGCATAATGAAGGTGACCGACATGGTTTTTGACCGCAACGCAACGCACGAACGCACGCACGCTACGCGCAGACTATTTGATTTGAAATAAAACTTTGGAAATGGATCTACGGCTACGTGTTGTGTTTGATGCTGTGAGTCAGAAAGCGGACACCCAAAGGATGGCTACATGATCGCTTAGAAGCCAACACAAAGTCAAAAACCTCGGCAACGCTTGAGTCCAGCCTGCACTGGAGTGGCACGCCCCGCACCGCGGACCTCGCTTGAATGGATGAATGGATCAAAGGGGCCGCGTGCGGATTGATGAGTTTGGAGACGACTCGCGTGGAATGTGAGTAACGTCAGCGCAACAGCGCACTTTTGAACATTGAACAAGCACGCACTGAATTTAATGCGTGGATTGTAAGTTGAACAAGACAAAGTTGGAAAGTTTTGTAAAGAAACGGCAAAGTCCCGCAGACGGCGCTGATAAAATGAATGAAGACGAAGGAGCACGGAGCCTACGCCAAGAAGAGGAATTGGACGCAACCACACAGGATAGTGTGGACAGCGAAGCTAAAGTTGTTGGAAAAGACTTTAAAAGACTCTGTGCTAGTCGGAGAGGAAAGTTGGGTGCTTGTACAAGACGCATGAATGACATCAAAGAACTCTTCACAAATCCTCTTGTCTCACCAAATCCGGACTATTTAACAAATCAATATGAACATTTTAAAGTGTCATTAAAGGAATTTGAAGAAGTCATAAATCTGTGCAAAGACTTTTACCTCCAGAAGTACAAGAAAATGAAACTATGGATTGGTACGAACCAAAAATGGAAATATTTAATGCATTTATGGAGAGCACAAAAACAAGAATAAAGGCTCTAAATGACCCACAGATCTTAATTGAACCCAATGACAGTGCATCAAATGTATCAAATGTATCAAGTGGATCAAGACACTCCGTGAAAACGAAAATGTCATACATGTCAAAGAGGTCTGTAAAATCATATGGAAGCTCAAAATCACAAGTCTCCAGTGCTATAAGTGAGCGTCTGAAAGTAGCCTCAGAAAAAGCTGCTATGGAGGCACGCATGGCTGTGTTAACAAAGAAACATGCTATGGAAGTGGAAAAGGCTAAAATAAATGCTGAGCTTGAGAAAATTGGACTGGCTTCTGATATAGCCGCATCTGATGCAAAGCTAAAGGTTTTGGACAGTTTCACTCAAAGTCCAGAAGAGAGAATGTCACAAAAAGTGCAATATGAAATGAAAGATAATAAAAATGTCAACATGATCAAAAATGTCTCAATGGAAAATTCTATACATTCATTTGAATACCCGGACATTGGTGCTATTCCAAAGACCCCGCTTCAACGTTTTATAAATCAACCAAATGTTGGGGAAAGAGAACTAAACAAATCTTCATCTGATAGAGCTCCATCAGAAAATGGATCTGAAAGTGACACAAGCATAAGTAATGACATGGACAAACCAACTCTATCCAAAGAACTGCTGTCTGTTATTAAAAAGCAAAATGACATCACAAGTCTTCTAATGTCACAGCAGCAACAATCTTCACTACCCTCCAGACAAATACAAGTGTTTGATGGCAATCCATTACAGTATCAGACATTTGTGAGAGCATTTAAATATGGAATCGAGAGTAAAACGGACGATGAGGATGATAGACTCTATTACTTGGAACAGTACACAAGTGGTCAAGCCAGAGAGCTTGTAAGGAGCTGCTTTCACATGGATGCAAATATAGGCTACAAAGAGGCAAAAAGACTGTTAAAAACGCATTTTGGAAATGAATTCAAACTTGCAAGTGCATATATTGAAAGGGCTCTCAATTGGAACAACATAACGCCAGAAGATGGAAATGCACTGCATGCATACGCTCTTTATTTAAGAGGATGTCTCAACACAATGAAACAATTAAAATCCATGCAAGAATTAAATCTACCATCTAATCTAAAACTGGTGTTGTCTAAACTGCCCTATAAACTCAAAGAAAGATGGAGAACAGTGGCACATGAACTTCTGGAAACAAACAAAACACCAGCACGATTTTCCGACCTTGTAGCATTCATTGAAAAACAGTCTAATATTCTACAAGATCCTCTCTTTGGTGAAATCCAGGATGTTTCTAGAAAAACATACTCCAAGCCCACTGTAACAGTAGAATCTAGAGCTCACCTGCCACAGAAGAATAAGAGCAGCAGTTTTGTCACAACTGTCAATGACTATAAAACTGTGTGTTGTATTTGTGGTAAATCAAATCATTCTCTGGATCAGTGTGAAAAGTTAAAAGCACAGACACATGATG